TTTTTTTTTCCAAGTTGCTGTCAGAGGAAGAAAAGATGAAATACACAGAGATGGCTCGTAGGTGGAAAGAAAATAAATCTCTTCAGAAGTCAGTGAGAGAGGTAAATGCTCAGAAAGAAACAACTTTCAGAGTAGCTAAGTAAGGAAGGAAAGATGGGTTTGAATTTGGCCAGAAATTAGGCTAATTAGGCTAAGAGGAGCACTGTAGTTCCTCCCCACTCCAAGTAGTCCAGATGTGCTGTTCTCAATTAAATATAATTCAACTGTTTTATTATTTGTTGGTAGTGTAGAACCATTAAGCCTTTTCAAATAGTGTAAGCTTCCATTTTTTATTTTATTTTTCAGTCAAGCATAAATTGAGAAATGTTTCTTTACTTTTTTTTTTTTTTTTTTTTTTTTTTTTTTTTTTTTCTTTTGGGGACATATTTTATTTGCTATAGCCGTTGAGAAGAAACTGCTCTGTAATACCAAAATGTTAAACTCTTTTTTTGGTATCGAACTCTGAAAATCATGACTCCTGCTTTAGCTCTTGATGTAGATACCAAAGGTAAACAGAAAATGGTTCCATTGTGATTGAAGTTGAGAATATTCCATGCCATTTTAAACCAGTGCACCTCTTGGGCTATATTTTACTAAGTAAAATGTATTTCTTTCACTTTCAGCAGTTCGGTTTTAAGGGACTCATTTTTAAAGTATTAAAAATAGTATTAAAATATGTAATGTATTTACAAATGCATTGAATACTGTAAGTATTCAAAGTTTAAAAAAAAATTAATACAGCAAATTGATGAGACTTCACGTCGATGTTTCTTATTACTTTTGCTTTTTGGATGATCTCAGTTGCAGATGTTCTTCTCTGACCCYCAGAAATCATACTTTATAAGCAGCTGATTTAGGATTCTTGAAGGGACATATCCTGTAATAGGTCACTGAAATGTTGCAACCTGCAAATAGGTGAATAAACACCCTGCTGTTATTTTTAGGCTGGTCTGATTGTGGAGGGAATAGTAATGTTATGGTGGACAGAATCCCTTAATGTAGAAGAAGGAAGATATATTAAAGTACATGTAGCTGAGGTCAGAAAAAATGCTAAACAGATCCTTTCTATTATTTACTGTTATGAAAACGACTTTTTTTCCCCTCTTACCAGCATTGCCCTGAAGTGTAGTTTGCTTTGGAGCTTGAATTATGTAAGGTGTCAGAAAGCTTGTTTTATAATGGTCTTGGTTGGCAGAATAAAAACTTGTGTGTCAAAACAAAGCCTGTTTCAGTAAATGGATAATTCTGCACTTTTTTTTTATGCCCTTTTTTTTGGATGCTAACTATGAATTTCCAAATAGTTGGTGAGGATTTGTTTTAGGACAGTAAAGGACTTAATGACACTAACAAGAATAGTAGAAAGATTCTAGTTGAGAGTAAATAGTTAATCTGCATTTGGTAATTTAGTCACYCTCAGTTATTAGGGAGCTGTTAGGGCAATATTTCCTGATTGGAGGGGACCCTGCGAAAGGCTCCAAAAGGAGCCCCTGTGTCATCATTATATTATTTAGCAAGCGAATGTGTGTAATATATGAACATTGAGTGTCATTAGAATGCAGTTACTTGAGAAGACAACTAAATAGCATGTGGAGACTTCTATATTTCCTTCCTCTATGGAGATGGTAGTCTAGAAAGTTGTATTGAGGAAAAGAAATAATTTCTTTACCAGAGTAAAAGACATGATCTTCCTGTCACTTGTCATTGAGAATTGGGAAGCGTATATGTATGAGCTAATGCAAGATTTCAATTCATTAATTGAATTTGTACACACAGAAACACATTTTTTTTTTTTTTTTTTTGTAGTGAAAGTTTGTGGTCTTCTTTTGCAGCTGGGACTTACTTGCRTGGGCTTAATTCCTGGTTTTACAGTAAATAATTAAAAGTGACTGTCATCAGACGCCTCCTAGCAAAGGAGGTCATCCGGAGTTAGYACATCTAGGATGCTATTGATTATATAGGCCTTGCATGATTGAATTCTGGAAGCCTTCCAGCTTTCTATGTGAACGGCCCAAGTCATCCTGTCCTCTTCAAAGCCTGTTGTTTGCACATGGGTTTGCAGTGTTTTGCTTAATGGGCATAGGAGCCCCTTCAACTTGCTCTGCACCAGTCATCTGATGTCTGTCTTGAGTCTTTATCAACTTTTGTTAATGCCRTTCCTGGTGAAAGACAAATAATTCCTATGCCAGTCTTTTTCATCAAGTTCACTTAATTCTGAAATTCCATTTTGAAAGTTCTTATCATGTGACAAGTGGTTGACTTGAACAAAATACTGTTTTTATATATATATATATGTGTGTGTGTGTGTGTGTGTGAATATATATCTATTTACATTTTCGAAATACAGCTGTTGTTCATCCAGCTGTACTGATCCTGACCTAGATACTAAGAAGTCTGTTTCTTTCTCTTCATTAGAAGAGGAAACTCACCTTTCCAGAATGCACATAGATAGGTATTTGTTCATAAGCTCATAATGAATAAAACTATAACTAGTAATGGAGATAGTATGATTATCTTAAGGAGGTGAAGGGCCTTATTGGGAGTTAGTAGACTAACTTGCACCGTTTTCATCTTTTCCAGACGCCTAATGTGGCTCATCCAGTTCCTGCTAGTTTGACCACAGCGACCCCCAGAAGTGCTTCTCTTCCAGATGCCTCTGCTGTGTCTTGGAAGAATGACCAGGGTACGTTGACCTTTAAGCAGTTATCCTGGTAGATAAAATCTTGGTTTTATAGATAGCCTCAATGACATCTGTACAAAGACTGTACCAAGTTTAAAGAATGAGGAGTTGTTAGATGTCAAGTCTCACGCTTTGAGAAGTGTAGTTGTTAGACAAAACAATGATGTGGCTGCTTTGGAGAATATGAGACGGCTTTTTGCTTGGTCACTGCTTTTGTAGTGTACTGCCTAGCTTGCTTATTCAAAGGACTCTTGAAAACTAATCCTTTCCTATCTCTTCTCTGCCTTCAAGTGGATGTTTAGACGAGAATTGAGTAACAAACACATCTGTAATTGTTTYTCCAATGAATGATATTTTATTCTGAAAAATGAAAACAGTAGTGCTTACAAGCTAAATCAAAGCGGCCAGTCAATACAAACTATATCTGGGCTCTGTATTTGATAAGTCTTAGAGAGGATTGTTAGGCAAAATCCTTGAGCTAACTATGATAACATGAGAACAGTTTAGGAAAGGCAGGAAGAAGTAGCTCTTTGAATAGTGTAATGGTTACCTTCCTGCATGCCAGAATCCATACTACCTGTGTCGTGATGCAAATTTAGTCAGGCTGATAGCAATGGGTTAAACTCATGCAACTGGTATTTGAACTGAGTGAGAGGGGTAATGCTTAGGTAGAGCTAAGGTAGCTTTTATAATGTTGCTCCTTCGTAKTTCTCAGAGATGTTCCTGTAGGGTTCCCTATGACTGTACCTGCTTTTTGTGAGTAATTTGAACTCATGTGGGAAGGGTATCTCTGCGATGGCCCTGCAGCCTGTCGAGATTTCAAGATTCATGTAAGGGAGCTCTAGAATTCCATCTAAGGACAGCGGGTGGTGAATGACATGGCCTGGCCTTCGGCATCATTTCTATGTGGAAACAGATAAATGCGTTCTCTGCGTTGACAGGAGACCAAGATTTTTCTGATGAGGGGCAGAATTTAAGGGAATAGTTTAAACTTCAGTGAGAACATTATGTGACACTTTGTGAATAGAAGCATTAGAWGTGTTTTAAAGTGAGTGTTTTTCACTGTTCAAAATTTTGATAAATGTAAAAGTAATGTAAATGTAAATAAATGTATAATAAATAAATGTAAAAATTTCTCCTTGGCTTTTGTTTGCCTTGAATGTTTCCATCTTCCTCTTTGGGAGCTCATTTAGCAGAGCTGAAGTGATCCCTTAAAGTACTAGATGACTTCTCATCTCCTCTTACAGCATAAGATTAGCAGCTCGTTTTATTTCTGTAAGTTATTGAATTGAGCTTGTGAGGCTGCTTTGTAGTTACTTTTATCTTTTCTAACCACATCTTCCTAATGGGCAGAGAATACTATTCTGAAAAAGAACAGTAGCTCCTGATGACTTAGAGGCCTCTTGTGTGATGTGTGTGTGCCTCTTTCTTTCTTTTRTATCTGCACACGATGCCATCTGGACTTAGCTGAGTGGAAGGAGCCCTGGCATAGGGATCGCCCATGTGGCTGCCCCTCGCACAAGTATTGGCTGCTTCACCCTCTCACATGCCTTTCTCCAGCTGGTCATTGCAGTCCTTTACTAACCACTGAAGCTTTCACTGGGTGAGCTGAAGCAGGGCGTCTAGCTGTAGCCCCTAGGGRCTCTTCTGAGCAAACCAATCCTTCTTCTTTCAGCTGTGATTGCAAACACCATCTACTTCCTGAACATTTACAGTCATGGCGAGCTGCAGTCCCACTGCGAGCAGCGCTTCCTCCCGTGTGAGATTGGCTGTGTCAAGTACTCCCTGAAGGAAGGCATCATGGATGATTTCCATCGCTTCATAGATCCTGGTGAGCTCCAAGAAAGGGCAGACAAGAAATCGGTCAACTTGCTCTGGGGTGAGAGGGAGACTTTCTAGTGTCACTTACTACTACCCAGTTCAGACTTCTGGTGGTAAAACAATTTTGTTCCTGTGCTGTAAGTGCTTGGGTTTCTACTTAAAACATCTGAGTATTGCTTTTCRTAGTTTTTGAAGAGATGTATTGAAATATCTGAATAGTTTGAAGACTTTGAAGAGGGTAGAATAAATCCATAAAGAAGGACTTTGGCATCAATATACAACACAAACATCTAACTTGCATTTGTTTTGATTGGATGTAAACACAAAATTTATACAATAGGCTTTGGTTTTTGAAAATCATATATAATTTAAAGTTTCTCAAAGAGCTGTGACGCTTGTGCAARGCCATAAGGATGGATAAATCTGCTTCTTTCAGTGTATTAGACTGTGGTGTGCAGTGCTGAATGTTAAAAATCAACTGTTATGTGTTTTGGGATTTTATTTRTTTATTTATTTTCACTTGCTCTGTTGCAGAAGTTCCACCACGTGGTTTTCGGTACCACTGCCAGGCTGCAAGTAAGTATCAACGGGAGAAACAGAACAGGGTTTAAGAGAATACGATTTCTTGGAGTGAGCTTTACTCATATATATCCAAATGTTTTGCAAGTAGATGTAGTCAAGTTTCAAAGAGAAAGGAGCGACAGAGCAGCTTGCCAGAGTTGCTTTGATATTTCCTAAACCTATAAATGTCAGAGGGCTTCACCCAGAACTTCTTGTCAATGACAGAATTGTTTGTACTCTGCCTTCCTGCTTCTGTTTGCAGGTAGCTGCAGCGTTTTCTTCTTGAATGAGACATCATGGCTTTAGATGCTTTCAAGCCTAGCTCAGCAGAGCGTCCTTGCATTGATGGCCTGCCTGTGTGTGTGTGTGCGTATATGAAGCACARAGGTTTTAATAGAATAACTTGAAGACACTGTTTTATATTGAAAGGTTTGAGCCTTGTGGTGCAGCATTACAGATGACAAGAAAGTTAAAGTATTTATATCGTGGTTGTTCCTGGCTTGGCCTGCCTTTATTCCATTGTGACTCTTAAGTAGCATTTATAGCTTCCAGTTCTTTTCTAGACTTCCTGCCCTTGTGTACAGAAGGACTGTACAGAAAGCCCACACGTTCTTCTGTCATATATTTAGATCGTGGCCTTTTAAAAGGAGGCTGTGCACGTGTTCAGCCTAGACCYAGTGTTTTTCCTGGTGGAAGCAAGGTATGGATTGCTTAGTCCCAAATAGTACCCATAGGGAACAAGTGGGGGGTGTGTGTGTGTGTTTGTATGTGGATATAAAGGAGGTGGAGTTGTATCTTTTAAGGAAACAGGACTGTATGTAACTTAATTTTCTCCCTCTGCTTGCATTAGGTGATAACACTCATAAGATCCCTATATCTGGGTTTGAGCTGTCACGCGCTTGCTACCCCGTTGTGTTACGTGAGCTTCTTGACTTTGTCCAGCCAGCTGGAGGTGCTTGGCCGCGTTTCTACTGCAGGGTATGATCAAGGTCAAAGTAAGGCGACTGCTGTAAAGCCTTTTGTTTCAATGAGTGGAAGATAAACATCCTTTTCCAAATTATCGTTTTTCATAGTTTCGATCCAGGAAGGAATGGCSTTCTCAGAGATGTTGGAGTGTGTATAAACTTCTTGAAAGTAACTAAAACTTTCTTTTTCTTTAGTGTGATGACAGATACAGAATCAACTGGTGCTTCAGGCGAATGGCTAGCTTGTCAGGTGATAAATATCAGTTCTTTGTTTCTTTGTTTTGTATTGTGGTGTTTTTTTTTTTTTTTTTTTTTTTTCTTTTTTTTTCCCAAGAAAGAAGGACTGAAATTTTGGATAGCTCTATCTGTCAGAAAGATTTAGATGGATTTGAGGTCCCAGAGATTTTTGCAAGTTTCATAAAAGCTGGCAGTGGTAGCTTGAATTTTTTTGTGTGGTTCTCTTTCTTTCTTCCCTTCACCTTTCCTGTCCCCCAATAAAAGAATAAATCACTGACAGTACCACTACATGCTGTATGCTCAGTAAGCTAACCAGATCGTGCTTTCACATCTATAGTTTAAGCAGCACACACTGGTTTTTGTCCAGCCAGTTAAAGCAGCATGGAGGCAGTAAGATTACTATGAAGGCATGGCAACAGATGGGAAAACTAAAGGCTTCTGAAGGAAGATGACACAAATAGATTGGATGCAAAATTACTGTGGTGGAGAGAATTATGGAGCACCCTCCTAGGAAGCCAAATGTTATATACTGTTACTGATAGAGCAAGGCTTGTTGAGGTTTACAAGAGCTTTGAGGCTCTGGTAAGAGGCCATTATGGAGTGGCTGAGAAACAGGCAGAAATTCTGTTCAGCCGACATTTAGTTCTTCTCCTGACCTTCACTTTCTCCAAACTGTAGGCTTTGAGAGCCACCTGGAACTTCTTAATGTGGAAGACCTGATAGTCGAACTCTACTGGAAGAAATTTCAAAAGGAGCCATCTAAGACTTGGGTGTGTAAAGAACTAGATGTCTTCCTGTGGGATTACTCCAGTAATACCAGGTACATTGGGGGGATTTTGGTGGAAATGTGCATAAATACAGCTTGTTCCCTGACAGACAGGTTTCATCAGCAARCCTAAACAGAAGTAGTTCTTGTCAGCATGAGAACAACTGCCAATGCAAAGCACCATCTTTATCGAAAAGGAATATGAAGATACATGGCTTCCAATGCTGAGTCTGGGGCCTAATTTAAAGGAAGCAAAAAAAAAAAAAAAAAGAGGGGGAATAAAAATACAGGATGGTATTTGACTGGAGGAGAGAGAAGGGGGGGAAAAAAAAGATTCAGATTAGAGGGAGACCTTAGCAAGAATAAGAAAATGATGTGTTTTTTAAAAAAAGAAATTGGCAGAGGAGAATGGTGACACTTATATAACATGAGAAGCTATTTAACACTTTTAAGTCTCACACTAACAATGTAGGTTCGATTTCTCATGTAGAATTCTCTTCTCTCTTTTTGGCCACTGCAGCATCATGCTACTTAAGCAGAGCTCTTAAATCTAGGTGACTCAGGAAGASGTATTTGAAGACTGGTTCTCTGTGAAATGTTAGAAACATATTATGTGGTCATTGAACCAAGATATCTGTAATGCTTGCTCCGATTCTTTCTTGCTAGTTCAGCTSTTCTTGCTGATTAAAGATGTAGGTGCTTCTATAATAAACCTGAACTTAATTCCATGTAGGTGCAAGTGGCATGAAGAGAATGAAATACTTTTCTGTGCTCTGGCATCCTGTAAGAAAATAGCGTGAGTATTGCAAGTGAGCTGTCACTGGTACCATGACTTCTTACTTTGCTTTATTTTTTTTTCATTTTTGGCTCTGTCTTTCTGACTTAATTGAGCCATGTAGTTCTAAATCCAGAATTTTATTTATTCCTTCTATCCCCAGGACTTTGTTCTGTTTGTAACTTTGTAATTTTTATTTGTTTGGCTTAACAGCATGCTGTAAGCAGCAGCAACTAATGTAATGTCTGTGGTGATAACGTCCATCTTGGTTGATAGTCATCCTTTCACAACTTCCACTTGAGCCTGGAATGTTGAGGGGAAAAATTGCAARAATTTCACTGTTTTCTTCAGAAACTTATTATACCTGTATGTGGTGGCAAAATCTGAGTATATTCTAACCCATCTTTATTTTGGAAACTTCTGTACAATTTCACATACAATGTAGATTCATAAACTCTCTGTAACCTTTAGGATGGGAGGAAGGGGAAAATAGTAGTTTGCAGATGGGGAAATGCTATTTAAGATTTTAGTCAATTGCAACAACATCATTTGAGAGAAATAAGAATGAGCAATCTTTAATTTAAAAAGTTCTGCTTTGCCTTGCTGTTGCTTTCCACGCCTTTAACTGCTTGCATTYCATAGCTTGGGGAAGCAATGTTTTTCAACATGGTACATAGTTGTAGGGCAGACTGCTGCTTTTGCAGGTATGCTGTGAAACTGTCTAGTTGTTAGGATAATGTCCTTCTGCCCTGTCTTCTCCAAGCATCTCAGTCTGTGATTCCTTGTTTTTGCCTGTTGAAGAGCTAGGAATATCCTGCCTCTGTACATAGCCCATAAAGTCTAGTCCTCTTAATCATAGAATCACAGAATGCCCAAGGTTGGAAGGGACCTCAGAGGTCATCGAGTCCAACCCCCCTGCACACGCAGGGTCACCTAGAGCACGTGGCACAGGGCTGCATCCAATAAACTATAATAATATAATAATATAAAAATAATAAAACTTTTTTTGCTTTTTTTTTTTCTCCCCACCCCACTTTGAAGTTATTGTATCAGTAAATCTTTAGCYGGAGTGTATGGAGTTTCATTGACAGCAGCTCACCTACCTCTTGAAGACTATGTTTCCCGTGACAGCACAAATGCCAAGATAGTGGTGTTGGATGCTGGACGTTTCCAGGTCAGATTCTTTAAATCGGTATACTGGTATTTGATATTTCTAGCTAACCCAAACGTTCAAAGCAGCCTTTTTCTTGTTTCTTCTTATTTTTGAAATTTGCCAATTTCAAGTTAGCCGTTTTGTCTTTGGATGTTACTTTTTTGGGGTATGCTAGGTAGGTAGATTGGTTATTTCTGTTAAACTTGCTTCAGGTCTTGATTTCAGGCTCTTCTGTGGCTATAGAGTCCTGCCTTAGTGCTATATCTGCAATAAGCAGTGAGGACTAACTCATGCTTAATGCCTTTGCAAGAAGTCAGTCAGTGTTAAATGTGGTTGTCTTTGATTGCAGCTCAGAGCTATCTCGAGTAGTAGTGGTCGTGCTGTGTACTCTGCTTTGGAGAACTCATCTGTTATTTTTGGTGTTTATTGTTTCATACAGAAGACGAAGACTAGGAGCTCTGGACATGACAGCCACTTCACTTCTGCAAGTCAAGATCAAGGATGTGTCCCTTCTGCTTGTGAGTCTGAGACTTTTACAATTGGGAAGGGAGAGAGGGTATTTACACCTTATCCTGTTATTGTGTTGCTACTTTTCAGATTTTTAAGCTCAGATGTCCTTTGTTATTTTTCTGTCACGTGGAGAAGACTTTTTCATATGCTTATATGCATTTTGAGTCAAGTTCTTCTTTAATGCAATTTATTTGCTGTTAAGTCATTTTACATGCACATTCAGTTGGTACTTACTGTGTTATAATGCAGTTTATAAGCTGCTCATATAAAGCCTTCCTTTTGGAGCTAGAATGGTTTTAGTAGAGGGCATACAACCTCAGTTCCTCTGGGAAATTCATGGCTAATCTTTTGAGAAGAAAAGTTTACTAGACAAAGAACTGGAAAAGTTCAGAGTTTGCAGCTTATTTCCTGCATTAAAATACATACCACCTGAAACAGCTGCAACTATAAGTCATGGCATTGTAAATGAATTTGATGTTTTTATGGAGGCCAAAATTCCTGCCCCTGCTCAATAAGTCTAATATTAGATATATAGAGTAGATTGAGCCTCARTGCATATGGAAGACGATTCTATTGATTTATACATGCTTTAAAGGCTGATTTGATTTGCAAAAAGTATTTAATTTAATAGGTGGTTCTTCCTGTGGTGTGAAGAGTCTCCCTTACGGAACAAGTATCATGCGAGGAAGAGGAATTACTCGGTTGCTGAAAAGTGCATCTCATCTAACCAACTCTTTCAGTAATTGAAAGTCCACTTTACATCCAGGACAGCTGTGTGTTCTGTTTTTCCTTTTCTCTTCAGGATAACCAGTAGTTTCTCCAGACTGCAGTTTTTCATCTTCTATGCAACCCTTCATAGTTCAAATCCTTGTTAGAATGATCAAACTATTAACTGGATTTAAATAGAAAGAAAAGAAACCTTGGTTTCTGCCTACAAGAAGAATTATTGTGAAGGGATCTGACAATTACATCCTCTCTTTTAAGTAGATACCGTGTTAGTTCTGTTTCTTAGTGCGTGGAGCCAAAATGTAAGATCGGATAGTACTAGTGATTTAGAATCTTTTAAAGACACATGAACCACTAAAGAAGTGATTTATTTCATCTTTAATAGCCTTCATTCCCTCTTTTGTATGTGGAAGGTAGAATTTCAGTACAAAAATCCCTCCCCCCAAAATTAATGGGGAGGAGCAGTGGAACTTTAAAAGGTTGCATTAAGGGAATTATAAATCTAGTAGTCTCAAAGAATTGCTGATAATCTCTCTCTCTCCTACTCATTAAGAACTTGTATATTCATTCAAAGCAGGAAAAAACCCAGACATTAAATGAGATGTCTTGGGAAAATGTGATGGTGGTTTTATCCATCTGTTAATGTTCTTTTGGAGACACACACATTATATATCAGGAACAAGCACAATATGGATATTTCCTTTCCTGTGCATCATTTCTGCAGTTAAATTATGTATATATTAGTATAAAATTAAACTCTTGGGAGTCTGATATTTTCTTTATGTTTGTGTGCTTAGTTGTTTTTCAATCAAATGGGAATAGTAGTCTGCAGGCATGATTTCCCCAAGTTTATCAGGATTGGAATAGATACCAGTCATAATTATTTGTGGGAACGTAGAAATTAGGAAAAGGTGTGATATTACTGGAAAGTTAAGTTTTTCATCTTACAGAGATAGGAATTTTAGACTGGCTTTCCAAAGAATTCTCTGCTAATTTTTTTGAGCTATTCCTACATTTTATTCCAACTGAAGTTTGGTTGTGAGATACTGTTTCCCAAGTAACTGTGAGATGTGAGATGAAAATGTTTTACTTTCTGATAAGAAGTAGAACTACAAATAATAAGGTACTTTTGTTGCTTTGGATAACGGGGTGGGGAGGGGCGGGAAGGAAAATAAAAGGTCCTCACGTGTAAAACTTGAGCACGTGGGCCAACATATTAGAAAAGATCAGTTGCCGATTTTGTTAGAAATCTGTTTATGTAAGGCCCTTTTGAGGTCCTTTTTCCGATTTATCAGGGTCACTGAACCATTTTGCTGCTACAGTTTCCTTACTTGATTGAATTTTCTTGTGTGATTCTGTTTTTGGTCCACTGAGGCTGTTGTTCTACCTGTTGGGCTTCACTAGATAAGCAATCAAGTTTTTGAGACTCAGATCTCAAAATGAAGCACACAGAAACATTTTAAGTTAGAGTCGCTTAGTAGTGATAAAGGCTTCTYTATAAGTTGAAGGATTTTGCTCTAGTTTTAAGCATCTTAACTGACAACATTTCCAAATGCAGAGAGTTGTAATCATTGAATTATTTTCAGAAGTCAATGTTGTAATAAATGTTTCATGCTTCAGTTCTTATGTAGAAGAAAATACATGATTTCCCAGGTGTTTATTTGATCTGAGTAAGTACACTAACCTCAGAGTATTTGTTTCTGTGCTTAGGTCATTATGTAACTTCAAGATGGAAATCAAAAGTGTGACCAAAAATGGAGAAATAGTTCAAGTTCCCTGACTTACCTCTGCCTTGGCATCTGTAACTTAAATTGACATGCATGTTTTGTAAGACCTCACTAGATGCTGCAAGTAGGTCAGTAACCATCTTGCTGTACTACCCAACATCCTAAGGTGTTATTGTAATGAAAACTGAACCGAGAACACCAGTAATATGTACACTAACTGTGTGTAGCACATTTAGTATTTTATACTACCTACATTAAGGGGAACCGTGCTAGCTATTGGAGGATGATAGATAGTGATCTCATTTTGGACCTTTATTTTCTTTGCTGTTGTGGAGTTTGAAACTTCAGCGTAATTCCTTGACAAGAGAGGGGTTTGGTAACCATGGTTCACTAATGCTTCTCTCCTTTAATGCAGAAGTGAAAAGGAAGGAAAGCTGTTCCTTGTGGCCTGAGCACACTTCTTCAAGTGCAAGGACTACTCCTTGTAAGGCACAGGCTCTCGGTCTAAATCAGAGCAAAGTAATAGACCATGGGAATTCTCTCCCCTTGCATGACAGAATTCTTGAGGGGAGATTAGCCATGTAGATGCAAGCTAGCTTGGGGSCAGAGTTACAGTGTTGCAGCCCTGATGCTTTAACATATGCTTTGCCCATGGTAAAAGCAACAGTAATGCCCTGTTTTCTACATATAGATGTATTTGTATGGTACAAATTTAACAGAAGAGAATTTGTAAACAAGGCATTTAACTGATGCAGGCAGACCTGACTCACTGCCCTCATAGTGTGGAGGTTGCACAGTCCAGTGACACTAATGAGTAAAAAGTCATCCTGGTTTTGCACACACATTACCAAGTTACAACTTTCTTCTTGTACGGTCAGCCAAGCAGATGATTCAGTTGTGTGTTACTGCTTTCTAGGATGAACACTTTGGCCAAGCAAACAGTTTTGTAAGGCTCATGAAAACACAAGGCAATTGATGATAGAACTTTGCTAATCTAGTCTGACATTAGTATGATTAGCTTTGAAACGTGCATCTTAGGGATTCTTTTACAGAGTGYGTAACATACTGGGGGGAAGGAGGTGTTTGGGGAGTAAGCAGAAGTTACTGCTCCTATGTAGGAAAAGAATGTGAATCTGGGTATTATGCAGATGCATTTCTGACTTGTCACAAAACCACAGAATTACAGAATGGTAGAGTCTGGAAGGGACTTCTGGAGAGGTCTAATGCCCCTGCTCAATCAAGGTAGCATACAGCTTTTTGTCACCCCCACATTTGAGAAGTTTTTCCTTATATTCAGATGGAGACTCCTGTGTTTCAATTTGTGTCTGTTGTCACTTGTCCTGTCACTGTCCACCCCTGAAAATAGTCTGGACTCATCTCCTTAACACGCTCCCTTACGGTACTTCCATATGCCAATAAGATCACCTCTTAGTCTTCAGGTTAAACAGGCCCAGCTCTCTCAGCCTGTCCTCGTAACAGATATGCTTCAGTCACCTAATCATCTTTCTAAACTTAGTTTGGACTCTACCCAGTTGCTGCATGTGTCTCTTACCACCTACTCCTTTCAATAACCCATAGAACTCAAGTATGCAGAAGTTTTTCCTATTAGTCGCCTTCCTCTAGCTAAGAAAATTTATCCATACCTTGCATTCTGACTTAACATAAATGTTCTCTTATCTGTTCTTAATCTAGTACACTAGTATCTGGATTTTATCTCATGAATTTGATTCAAAACTTTTGCTTCCGAACACTTGGAAGATATTGAGAAGATTTTAGTGGGATTAATTGCTGGGGGGAGGGAACAAACCACTTTGGAATGTGCAAGTGTGTAAAGTTTCTGTAAGCGCCCCCATTGCTGGCTCGTGGCAGATTTACCCACCATGACTCCTAGGTCCTTTTCCRCAGAGATAGTTTCCAGCAGGCCCATGTCCAGCCTGTCCTGGTGTTTGGGCTTTTTCCTCCCACGTGCAGCACCGTGCACTTGCCGTTGTTGCCCTTCAGGAGGTTCCTCTGCCCATTTCTCCAGCCTGCCAGGGTCCTTCTCCCTGGAGACCCAGTCCCGTGATGTATCGGCCGAATCCTCCCGGTTCTGTGTCATCAGCAARCGTGCCGAGGCTCTGCTTTGCCTCGTCATCCAAGGCCTTGATGAGTGAGTTGAACATCRCTGGACCCAATACCGAGCTGTGCATACGCTGCTGGGGCCTGGCCACCAGCTGCACTGTGGGCTGCTGGTCAGATCAGAGCTCTCTGAGCTCTGCCATTCAGCTGTTTCTTAGTTCATGTCACTGTCAGCTCATCTAGCCCACATTCATCAGTTTGTGTATGAGGATATTACAGGAGACAGTGCCAAATGCCTCGCTGAAATCACAGCAGACAACATTCACTGTCAGTCTGGGTAGACGTGATTTCCTTTTCACAAATGCATGCTGGCTACTCCTGATCCTCCTCTTGTTCCTATGCTTGGAAATGATTTCAGATGAGTTGACCCATCCCCTTCATAGACATTTATGTGAGGCCGATGCCTTTTCTTTCCCTGGCTCCTCCTGGAAGACAGGAGTGACATTTGCTTTCATCCAATTCTCTGGTACCTCCCTGATCACGGTGAATCTTGAATTCAACCTTGTCATAGTTATTGTAGCTGAGGTTGCCTTCATATMCCTAACTAATTCTTCCTTAGTTGTAAGTATGAGGTCTGGCAGATCATTTCACCTGTCACCTCCACAGAGGGTTGTTTCAGGAAGCTGTCATCTGTGTACCCCGAAACCCCCTGGATTGCTTACGCTCTGCTGTGTTGTCCCTCTCACATCACTGAGGGGTTGAAGTCCCCCATGAGGACAGGGCCTGTGAACATGAGACAGAGGCAGCTTCTAGTTGTTCAAGACRAGGCAGCCTCATCTGCTTCTTCCTCATGAGACAGGCTGCAGGAGACACTACAGCATCACCCATGTTAGTCTGCCTGCTAATCCTAACCCTTAAACTCTCATTGTCCATTCCAAGACRGGTCTCTGAGCGTTCCTGCTGCTCTTCCCCATTAAGGGCACCTTCCAAGTGCCAGACTCCAAATTGGACAAGGGGATGTGTGGGAAAGGAGACCTAATGTCTTTATTCTGACAACCTGAAGCTTTAAGACCTGTGCCAGTTTCAGGATCTGCATCCTGCCTGGCTGTACCCTTACTGAAGGGAGGACGAGGTATGGCTAAGGTATGATTAATCCGTGCGTTACATCCTTACCAATATGCCAGTTCTCCAAATCTTAAAGGTGGGAGGAGGACAGGAACTTGGGTGGGGGAGTAGGGTGGAGGGACATGTTAAATACTGATTACTGGAGTTTGCTGCTAGAATGGATGTCAAACTGGAGGAAGCAGGAATATAACCCGTGTTCCAAAGGCACAGTGGATATCCATGAGATCCACACGGACTCATACCCAAATGGGAGTTTACTGGCAGCTCAGGGGCTCGAGGCCTCAGAGGATATGGAGCTCTGCTGAAGGTCCTTTTTCTGAATAGACATTTTTATGTGAATAAATACACTGTATTCAAGAAAGACCTGTCTGATTTTCCTTGCAAAATGCCTGTAATTCTCTGCTTCCCTTTAAAAAATGTTCGTAATTCCTATCTCGGCTCTGTGGTTTTACCCTGCTAGTTCAGTAAGTGCTAATCCTTTCTCCTATAAAATAAATGTAAACTTTACCAAAAAGTTAACTGACCCGAGCATGTGTGTGAAATACAGTTCTTAATTTCTCATTGACTGWGGGGTATGTAGCTAGCTGTAGAGGCTTTAACATCATATTTCTGTGTGGCAGGGTAAGTGTGCCATAGTGGAGCAGGGCAATAACAAATTTAATATCTAGTTTCTGCCCCCTTGGTGTCTTCTGCAGGATTATCAGACCCTTATCTCTAGAACGTATGGCCATTTTTTTTTTTTGTGCTGCTGCAGTGAGTCAGTAAAATGAAGGAATTGTCCAATGCTATTATTAGTCTAGCCCTGTATTATCTCTATTCCCTCACTTTTCCTCGGTTCTGTCTTAGAAGCTCCCACCAGCTTCTGTAATTACCATTTTCAAATAATCTCCCCCCCTACACACAAACATAGACTACTAGACAGGTGACAGGCAGGGGAGAGGTTCCAAATTCCCTTGTGTAGGGCTATAATGAAATTATTACTAGTCCCAGTGCACCCAGAATTAATTTTGACAGTTTGCTCATCACACTGTGAACTCTTTAGATAAAAGCCTGTGCCAGTGTATTTCCTGAAACGGATGGTACAAATAAATGGAAAAGTAGGGCTGTTACTGTAGCAACGAGAAGTCTGAAATAATGAGCTCTTGTGTATCTGATTGGCTCTGAACTGTACTCCACCATGGTTTTAGTGGTCAGCAGTGGTAGCCTTGGCTTTAGTAAGTATTTCCAAATTTACTGGAGCTGGAGTTGATCCTGAGGAGAGTGAGGAAGACTGTGAGAGCAGACCTTGGATTATGCAGGAAATCAGTTGGAGGGATGCAGCTCTGAAGGATAAAGAACTTCWGGAAAGCTGTAAGGTCATTGAGAACAACTTATTCCAAACCCAAGGACCGTTCAAGAATACAGTACATGTATCAGGGCTTTACAAGGAAYTTACCACTATTAGAACTGTCATATAGTGCAGAAACAGGACACAGGAGGTAGAAGCAAGCATGGATTGCATGGGAGGAATGTAGAAATGTTGGGATGCTGTTTGGAAAGCCAAAGCTGGAATTAATGGAAGGGATTTTGCAGTTACTGAGAAAGCTTCTATGGCAATATTAGTAGTAAAAACCTAAACAATCTGAAAAATAGTGCCATTGCTGAATGGGTGGCTGGTTTAGTGACAGTGGGTGCAGAGAAGGCCGAGGTGCCTTCTTTATCTTCTTTTTCACTAGCAAGTCTCCCAGACGCCTGTGCTTAAACCAGGGCTTACAGGAAGGTCTTTCCATCTGATGGAGTGACGATGGGGACTTTGCTTCCCATGTACTCTTCGTTGTATGTGAATGGCCGTTGAGGTAAGGTCAGAAGGAAAAAGGTGATGCTCAAAATTCCTCTTCTTAGTGTCCTTGCCAGAAGGAATTTTGCTTTGTAATGAGGTGTGAAGTCTTGCTGTGCTGCTCTCCCACTTGAGGTAGCAGATTTCAGCAGTCCAGCAGATGGAAAAAAATGGCTTGGTGTCAGCTTGAATTTTGATTATTGTCTTCTGGTTCTTCTTGTCATTCACATAAAGCACATAGGAGCATATTCTTCCATGGAGAAGTTGAACTAAACAGTACTTACTGTTTAGTAAGTACTTAACAGTAACAGTACTTACTAAACAGTAATTTGCTAAAGGCTGTGTAGAGCATCAAGTAGAAAAATATGGTTTTTGGCCCAGTAAGTATTTTTTGTCTACTTCCATTTCTCTGTTGGAGTGAGCATTGAAGTTGGGTATAGATAARCGCTTCTGCCTAGGGAATTAATTAAATATTGACAGCTTTCTTGTCSTTTTCCTTCCTCTTCTTCCCAAATGTGTTAGTGCTTTAGTTGAGGCTCTTGGAGCTATCCTTACTGGGATGATCAAAAGACTTACAGGTCATTAAGAATGGGAGTGTTCAGTCCAGAACAAGCTTGGGGAAAACTAGGAATTTGCATATGTGCATTTATGGCTGGCAGAATTTAACAGATTGGTAGTCTGATGAATGCACAACTTCCAGAATGTTCCAAAACCTAATACTAATTAGGTATTTTTGTTATGAGATCCAATGAAATATCCTGTCCCTCTGTGTACTGAGTTCATTTCCCAGTGTAGAGCTGAGGTCAGTGTAACAGAATCTAAGCAGTTCTCCTTTCATAATTTGACTCCTAGCTTTCTTTTTCCTGCTAGTTTTTGTAGGGCATACAATACAATTCTGTAGCRCACTGAATTTATATTGTTGGCTCCTTTTATAATCTCTTCTTGAGAGCTTTACTTTGTGGCTACTCTGTCCAAGAACTTAATGTAGATGAACACATTTTTCTTTTATGTTTAAAATAACCATTATGCAAATATTACATGAAGATTCAACAAATCCTGAGTGTAAAGTGTGGGATAGTTAATGCATTTTTTAAAATGTTTTAGAAGCCAGACCCAATTTCTGGCCACAAATGCCATGGATAATTGTCCTGTCCTTTTGCTCATTTTTCCAGCTAAGATGCTTGATGAGAATATATGCTATTTTCCCTCAGGAGAAGAGCCTTCTTCAGCCCAAGGATGTAGACGTTTGTTAGGGAACAGGGAGTGCTGACTAATGTCTGTAACATTAATAAAAGAAGTAGCTTTTGTTTCACAGTGCAAACCTGTTAGAATACTCATTAGATGATTCATACTCTACTTTCGTGATGTTAATGAAAATGAAGTACATATCAGTGTTCTACTTACTTATTCTTGTATTTCTGAGGTATGTATCTCCTGCTTTTAATCCATCTATGCATGAGGGCTGTCGTGTTTCTAATCAAAGTATTGGAAGAAGAACTCAGAATGTCTTACTGAGTTGCAAGTTCTTCATTGCCAGAAAGATTTGGGTTTGTGTGTGGTTTGCAGGGTTTTTTTTTTTTTTTTTGTATCCATGAATAAATTACATTTAAAACATCAGGTAAAACAAAGGCGAGCAGAAAGTTGTTATTCTGGTAGCCTGTTCTGCACAGTTTAAAATCTAGAAAATGCTGCTCACTTACAGGAGGATTGCTGGTTCTGCTGTAAATTTGTAGGGTAAAAGCTATGTGGGAAGTACTGCAGAAAGACTCCAAAAGTCTCATGAAGTCGTGGATGCAATAAAAAGTTTTGAAATAATGTTTTAGTGTAAGTCACTTATTAGTCACATCTTTTTAAAAACAGCCTTTAATGAATGTAAATAATAATAATAAAATTAGCTTAAATAATTGACAACCTCTCGGACAATCAAGAGCAGTCCATTCACTTGGAAAAATCAGGTATTACTGAGGAAGGTTCCTTTCTGTTGAGCACCTGCCCTGTTATAGCTTTAACCTTCTGATTAAAAAATGTGAAATTCCTTCATTTCCCATTTCTTCCCATTGCCTTATAAGCAGCAGCTTTTTTGGGCGGGGAGGGGGAAGAGCTTATTATTAATGATGTACCTGTCATGTGCATGTTGTCACACTGTCCTTTATCAGAAGAAGGGACAATTTATGGACAATGTCCATACCGCATTGCAGGGGGAGGAAAGAATAACATAATGAAAACCAGCATTAGGAGTTCTCTGAGATGGAATTCACAAGTTCAACAATCTGACATTATGCAGGCTAATTGATTGTTTCCAGATCTTTCTAGCTGCCCGTTATGGATCACTCTAACTTCTTGAATCTCAAAAGTTTAATTCTGTTACTTTATCCTTGCCATTAGTGTGCAGTTGTTCCAAACATGAGGCTTTCATTGGTCAGCTGTGATTTTTTTTTCCAAATTTTTATTTACAAGTACAAGATAATATATACAAAGAACATGTTTAATAAAAATCTTTTTAAAAAAGCTTGCTTCAGGCTCATATAAAATCATTTTTATATTGGACAGTGTCACTGTGCTAGAACTGCAAGCTCTGATATTGCCTAACGCCATAACCAAGGCCATCCTTTCTCAGGGGCATGCAGTGAGTGATCTTCGAAACCCTCTGTGGATGCAGGGATGCAACAGTAATTTTGTTCTCCAAACGAGTATGACTAGCATCTTTTACAGAAAGTGAAAGTCTGGAAGACTGGTTATTTGGGGACAATATGGGTTTTTTTGGTTTTTTTTTTTTTTTTTTTTTTTTTTTTTGCTGTGAGGTTATGTTAGTCCGTACTGCATATTAAGTACTTTTTTGTTGTTGTTTCCCCAGGGAGACAAAGACATTCTGTCCTGGAAACCTGAAGTCAGAGCTGTTAGCTTTGACTTGTTTATTCTAGGGGGAAAACAAACAAACCAAAACCCCCAACTACTTCTTACATTGAGAGCAGGATTTGATGTTATTTCTAGCATGATGTCTATGCTTCAGCAGGTTCTGAGGATGGTGTTAGCCTCCTACTTCTTTCTTCATCTTCAAAATCATCATCTGGTTGCTGACTCTTTGAAGGCATCACCTGGGGGGGTTCATTTCTATCTTCTCTCTCCCTAAAACATTGTTCCAGGATAGAGATGTTAGTTAATAACAGTTAGAAAATTTGCATTAGAATGGATTCTTATTGCTCTGAGTCCACCACAAAGTGTATCAAACAACTCCATAAACTGAGTCTTTTTAGTGATGCATGAGGTGTGTTCCTTTTTTTTTTTAATGTATGTGACAGGAAAGGATGACTGGGGTATCTTTGCCCATCCTGTTCTAACTTGCCTGACTTTGGCTTAGGGGTTCAGTTCCAAGGCTTGAAGGCATCTGGGGATATTCTGTGGGAAGAGGTGGAAGCCTCTATGGTAGAAACTAAAAGGAGAAGGCAGTGTGCACTTTCCTTGGTGGTTTTTCTTCCGCCTGAGCTTTCCATTTCGTATGTTGATGCCAAAGGGAGAAAGGGAACCCTTCACATGTTCCATTCACTGCTTAGCAAAGGTACTCACGTCATCTCGTAGTCCTTGTCCTTGCGTTCCCGACAGCAGCAGCAGTAGGATAAAATACCAATAACTACAATTGCGGCAACAACCCCTCCAATGATGCCAGCATACAGGGCAATGTTCATGGATGCTATGAAGGAATAAAAAGAAGACCTCTTTAGCAGCATAACCAATGCACTTAATACGCCTGTACCTGTTGTCAGATCCTACTACCAGATCCAGACCACAGAGTGGGAACCTACTACCAGATCCAGACCACATTTATTGGATTACAGCAGTTGCAATTAATTCTGTACTCGTTGCTGATATGTCTATAGGAGAACTGCTTAGACAGAGACATGGTAGAGCCCCTGGATCTGAACAGCTCCAGTTACTTGAGCTGAGATTCAGACTTTGGGTGCTTAGGCCTATCTTCTTGTTACATGWATCTTTTATCTATGAACTACCTCTATGAAAAGCTCTAGGAGCATTTGAGGCAGAGAATTAGTTTTAAAAAAACTTATTTTTATCCACTTATTTTGACCAAAAAAAGCAGAATTTTATACTTCAGTCTGCCTTGTCTCTGTTCATGCCTTCGTGCTTAAACAGGATGCATCCTCTGGAGCTACTCTGCTGTAAGCAGCCGGGTCTCTTACGTGGCATAACGCTGAGCGTAATGTTGCAGGACTCCTGGCCTACTCTGTTGCTCGAAGTGCAGATGTAGAAACCAGAGGTATCTGCCGAGACGTTCTTCAGAGTCAGCTGTTCTCCTGTTGCTAAACACAAACCCAGGGAGGAAAAGAATTAGAGCAGGGAAGGAAAYGGGGACAGCGGCTCGATCCTAGCCCAAGCTCGTGGGAGTGAAGAGAAGTTATTAGAACTGATGGGTTGTTCTGCCCTGCTTGAAAGCTGGGGCAGCTAACTTCCTATGCTAGTCTCCAGGTTTTACTATGATTTGCGGGAGGATAAATGGAAGTGTGTAGTTTTGACTGCTGGGAACACAGGGCAYGTGAACATTCCTGTTAGAAAGAAAATTGTAGGTTGAAAGGTAAAGAAGTAGGCAACCTTAGTAAAAGCTTGTTTGCAGTGGATAAATGGCAGCAAAGAGAGCACCTCTCTCTACGGAGAAATTTAAGATGGCCAAATTGGTAGCTGGCTTTGGGAAGCGACCGTCTTGTGAACTGACTTGTAATAGGGCAAGAAGTACCTCAGTTCTGATTGTTACGACCAAGGAAAAGAAATGCAGTGACTAGGCACACTGTGACACGAGACATTTTCCACCCAACCTGACAGAGCTCAGAGCTTAGCTCCCTGAACACTGAGGTTTTGTTTGCCGCATCTCCAGTTAATATTTAAATGTGTAGTCCATGGGTTTTTTTCTTTGTGATAAGGGTCCACATTCCTAGTCTAAGTGCACCAAGTTCTGAGTATTTCCAATGGCTTTCAGGCTTTATTTTTCCCTGTGTGATTTCATTTCTTCCCAGCTTGCTCGTGCGACTAGAATTCTGTTTAGTTCTTTGCTGCCATCTAGTGCCGGATGGTGAAAGAGCACGCAAACCAAATAACAACAGCCTCTGCATTCTTGGGGTTTATTTTTTTCCAATCTCTACTTACTCTCTCTGCATGCTCCACTTTTTTCTTTTTTTTTTTCCCTCCAATGTGATGTTTACAACTCTGAGAATTGCAATCCATTACTGGACTGCAAAACCTTGTAAATTAAATCAAAACTAATTGACTGGTGAGTCAAGCTGGAAGAATGTGGGTCAGACACCATCAATATTGGAATGGATTCAAATAGAATTTGTTACACTGTGTAGCACTGACACTTACTTAGCACAAATACTGACAAACATATTGTTTGTAGTGACGGTAGAGCCTCCAACCACTGGGAAGGGGGGAAGAAAGAGGCAGTCTCCACACTTACTGGACAACTGCCCCAATGAAAATGAGCGTAAATGGAAATGGATCAGAACAAACTTCTGTTCCCCGGGAAGAACAGGGAAGAACAGGCTGAAGGCAGCAGCAGTCACCTATTGCTTTGGGAAGACAAATCAGCRTGGTCAGGGCTGTGTCTGATGCACTGGCACCACTCAGTGGCCAGTCAAGTGAATAGTGTTCACTTGGCACATGGTTTGGATTTCAGCTAGCACTTCTTTTACATAATTTATGCAAGAGTTACCCAGAGAGTCGAATATCCTATCGAGTCTGATCCTATTTATTTTATCTACATAGCAATGCTACAGTAGCTCAAACCAGAAGAGACAGATTCAAATGCATCCTCAGTCATGCAGGAGTTGAGCATACCGGGAAGAAATAGCATTGTTTAAAGCAATAAATATGAGTCACTACTATACTTCAGAGTATATATCCACTATATGTCACTATATGTCTACTATGTCACTACTACACTTCAAAGACTATTACACCCTTACTTCTGTAGGAATACTGCTACAAGAGATCCTGTCATGGAAATCCAGTTTGTTTTGTTCGGATTCTGACTTAAAATAAAAGCAGATGAAATACTAGGGCCATATCCTTACATGGTGCTCCTGAAGAACTGCAGCCCTCTGCATTTGCAAAGCAAGAATGTTGTTTCTCATACCACCATCCTCTAGGTAGGTAGTCATGTTTAGAAGGCAAGTAGCTTCCAGAACTAACTTTTCTGCTTRCCTTCACCCCAGAAATGATCTAGACATTGTTAATTGAGTTAGGCTATATGGACAAACCTGCTTTATCCAACCTGATTTATCCCACCTTATCCATAGCAACTGAGAAGTATTTATTTGTATAAAAAGAACACCAAGGCTTAAATTTTGCACTTGTCTTACCTCCTGGTGTTTGCAGTGCACGTAGCTGATTTTGTACATCATAGCTTTGCCAGGCATACGTGGGTGTTGGAGACCCTTCATGGGAAACACAGGTCAGATTGATTGTTTGCCCATATTCTGCTGTCCCCACAATCTTGCATTCTGGCTTGGATGGTGCAACTGAAGGAAGAAAAACAGAAATGTCTTAACCAGGTGCAGTCCTTTATTTCAATCCATCTTCTACATCTGTGTGGTTTTCTTGTTTGTTTTCTATGCTAAACAGAAGCTAGCCTTGCACCTACCACTTTCTTCTTGGAAGAACTGCAGTGAACTTCTGTATCTACTGCTGATTTGCTTTACCCTTCCTGATGCTTGTTAGTCAAAAAGTAATCATAAGGTGCTTTTATGGGATACCTCGGATGGTGCTGGGTAACTGATCCCTTGATATATAGAGTATGACAAGCCAAAGGAGAAATGAGGAAGGCCCAAAAATGGGGCTGAAGTTAAGAAACTGCACTTTACAACTCCAATGGATGATCTTTCCTCAGGTTCAGGTATCTTGTTCCAGGTATTGTTATTGTTAAGTTTCAGGTATTCCAGAAAATTTCTTAACAGTGAGGGTGGCAGAGCACTGGAAGAAGTTGCCAAGAGAGGTTATGAAGTCTCCTTCTCTGGAGATCTTCAAGATCCATGGGGACACAATCCTGTGCCACATGCTCTAGGTGACCCTGCGTGTGCAGGGGGGTTGGACTAGATGATGTCTAGAGGCCCCTTCCAACATTAAGGATTCTGTGATTCTATGATGTAAGGGAGTTGGGTGCTCTCAACATATGTATGTCCTTATGTAGTAGTAGGAAAGATAGAAAATGGAATTTTGACCGACTGGGAACAGGTTGGGTTTTTGTTTTTAATAGAAAATCTGTTGTCCAAAACAGTAAAAATACTTAAATAACGCACACTGCATTATCTAAGGGATCTGGGGTTGTTTTCATCATGCTTACCAAGGACTAAAAGATCCATGAATGCAGTCTGCCTGGGAGGATCATTCCGGAGACGAACATTGCAAGCGAAGGTACCATTGTCTTCCATGACCGCTTCATTGAGGATGATGCTGATGTCTCCTTTCGTTACTTCACCAGGAAACTGTATACGATTCTCATAGCCCTTGCCATACTGTATAAGGCCATCAAAATACCTAGTGGCAACATCATCCTACCAGAGAAGTAGGGAATTTAATCAGTCTTAATTACTTGTGTGTGACTTTGCAGCCTRACTCCATGGATTAGCCCACACTTAAGAACAATCTGCAAGAGAGGACCTCAAACCTGTCCCAGTTTGCCAAAAAGCCCAGAATCATAAAAGCTCAKAAGTTTTTGTCTTTAAATGTCTATGTAGAATCTCCTTATCCTGTATCTCAAATCAGTGAGTTACTGATTTCTTTTGATGAGACTTTTTCACCTCTCTCCAAGACAGAACATACTAAAACATGTCTGAGGTACATAKGTCAGTCACATTCCCCTATGCCCATACATATTCTCTTGCTTTCCTCCAATAAGGATCTTCAGAAAAGAAACCCTTGACAGTTACTGCAAGATATCCAAAAGGTGCTTCACCTCTCACTAAATCCCAAGAAGTCAAAGAGAACTTCAGAGGTCTCTTATCTTCAAATATACCCTGTGAGGGTGGAAGCCTTCAACAACTCTCACTGTACTAATTTCATCAACTTAAAGTGTTTTATATAGTATTTTAAGCAATATATATGTAGTTTTTAATAGCATATTTGCWTATTTCATCTATGGTTACAGAGGTAAATCCAAAGTACATATTGTGATGTATTCTCAGTAGCCAGTTGGAAGACTGAGAGGAAAGAAAAGGGTGGAGGGGGGCTGGCTTACAATCATGCAATAAAACTGCTAACTTGAACCTAGAATCAGAGTTTCTACTTGCTTAGTTCTGAGTTTAAATAAAGTCTTGCAGGAATCCTGTCTTCCAACACACATTCATGTAGTCCTACTTCCTTCTCTTCTCCCCGCCAGTCTTGGATGACCTATCATGTGATTCTTTATGATTCTTGATTTACCACTCTGTTGATTTTCCTCCAGACAACGAAGTCCCCAGCAGTGATCTCAGCCCCAGTGTTAAAATTGCAAGGAAGAGTAGCATTTTTCCCTCGTGCCACCTCTACTTTCTTGACTGGTGTTTCCACAGTGAGGGCATGAACAGTTACCAGAACTAGAAAGAGAACAGATACTTCTGTCAACAAAATGAGTGAAATCTGTTTTTCTACATATTTACATGTTTGGTCCCTTTGGTTTTCCTACACACCACAGCAATCCCACATGCCCTTTGTTCTCTGTGGCATTGCCCACTGAGCAGGAGGCAATGTGGGCTGTGGTTGATTGGCTATGGGCAGTTGTTGCACAAGGTGGCTCATAGCTAAACTGTCCTTTTCACATTCAATCCCCTCTTCTCTACCTGGACATAAATTCCCAGACAAAAAATTTTTAAGGATTTTTAAGGGACAGCAAATGACACTGTCTGGCAGGTACAAAGTATATAGAGGGAGGCAAATGAACAGGTAATACGGGCGTACCAACAGTCTTTGGGATGCAGGCTAAACTAAGAAATGGGTATTTTCAGATTTCTGGGCTAAAGGAAATTCTCTTATCAGGTAACTTGCATCAAATCAAATCCATTAAGAATTGACATTTTGTGCTCAGGAATCAAAACATGTTCATGTGATAACCTTGGACAGGAAAAAACCTAGAAAAGCAGAGAATTTTAGCAAAATAAAGCCATTAATAATAAGTCATTAGCTTTAATAAATGAATCAGTAATCACTTTTATTTGGGTATGGTAGCTTCTGTGTGCAGAACATAGGAAGAGTTGCGAGCTGCAGAGAACTCCTTGAGTTGAGCTTACTCCACAGTAATGCTCTCAGTGCTGCAGCAGCAAGTTTTCACTGTTGGAGCGTTAGCTGTGCCCAGCCCTAGGTGACCTTTGTGCCTGTTGTAGCCTGTGCTGAAAAGCACCCCATTTCCCCTTACAGTTAGGGCAGTTTTTCTAAGGTACCAGGCTGAGTCATTCGAGAAACCTAAGCCTACAACCAGCGCAGCAGAGTGCTGTGCACTCCCATCATTGTGTGGGGCACTCCCCTCAGAGAGGCTCTCCTGTCACAGGGTTGGTCGGGAGGGTTGGTCATTGTGTGGGGCACTCCCCTCAGAGAGGGGCTCTCCTGTCACGGGGTCCATAGGGAGGGTTGTGGAGGAGGGCAGAGGTGTGCTCTGCCCCCATGTGCGGAAGGCAGGCTGTGGTAGTGAGGGCATCCCTTAAAAATAACATGAATGGAAGGACCCAAAGGTCTTGTTGTCAGTGCCATAGGAATCACATTTCTGTCTTTTGAGGAAATCTCCGATGTTTATCATCACAAATGGCCCTTTAAGCCTTTCCTTAGAAATAGCCTGCCTGTTAGAACCACCGCATATTCCCTCTTGACAAGAATTTTGGTGGGAACATTGATATCAAGCAAAACTTTCACCCCTCTCTACATAGGCCTGTCTTCTTACTGCCTGACAGACATGTCTTCCTCACAGCTGTCTTAGAGCCAGCTTGGGACGTTCTTAGAGCAAGTGAAGGCAAAGCAAGCGAGGGAGGCCGGTGGGGCAAAGTACTTCTAGCAGTGTTTTATTGCAGCCACTCCCAGGCCTTCCCCTGCTCCAGGACACCTAGTGCAAGGGCCATGTTTGCATAGCCACCAGCTCCTCACTGCGTTTTTAATAATTCCCACACCTGTAAAATCCTTCCAGTTGCTTATTGTAATTGAATAGACAAACTCTTCTACATTTAGGGGAAAAACACCGTGGTCTATAGTGGGAGATGGAGCAAAAGCAGTATCACGATGCTTTTGCCACTACGAAACTGGTTCCACCAGGCCAACATTCCTTGACAGGAGTTACTCACTCAGCCCTGAGGGAGAGAAGAAACTGCCCAACCCTAAGACCTCTCCTTACATAAAATTTTCCATCTTCCAAATGGATGACTAAATCCTACAATAAATGAGATTTGGGGTATTACTTTTTTCCCCAAACATGTCCTCRGCGCAGTGTCAAAAAACTGTTAAATCAAACAGCATGTGTTAGAGGAACAGTCCATAAGCAAAGTTGCTAATTCATCTGTTACTCCCATCCTAAAGCCAGTCGTCTGATGTCCTMCCACTACTTCTGATTTTTCCCTCAACAACTTCTCCTTCTGGCTCTTATGAAAGCTGTGTGGTTTCATTCTGGTAAACCACCTACTTGTCCTCATTTCTTTCCTTCCCTTTTCTCAACACTTCACAAAGACAGCGACTGTTTTGAAAGTGGTGGTCAGCAGCATATTGGGTTTTTTACTATCATTTGATCATTACCAATCTTGCTTTATCAAGTAGAACAATGAGCTACTTATAGGTAGCATAGTTACAAATTGAGGTCTGTTCTTCAGTTCTTTGGGCTTTTTTTTTTTTAAATGACAGTCTTATTTTACCATCTAAAATGACAAAATCAGCTGACAAAAGCTGAACGGACAGAATTTCAAAGTAGCAGAGAAGTTGAATAGCCTGTATATTAGCAGAAGGATGGCATCATCTAGACTTAAGCCTTAAAATTACTATTTTTGTTAATATTTGGTATTTCTACATCATTTTAAAGGAAAATTTGATTTTTTTTCTGTCTTTGCTCAACTTATACCTTTGTTCTAGTCACAAAGGAAGAAGAAAGTAAAAATGATTTTTCTTTCACATTCCTTATAGAATAACTGCTAATAAAAAGTATCAAAACACAGTGAAAAAAAATAGAAAGATTTGCTTGCTGAAAAAAAATAAAAAAAGGGGAGATTCTGATCAAGCAAAGCTATTAACACTGTTTTGTCCGAGTTGTTTTGGACAATGAGAAAAGCAGGAAAAGTTGAAATATCTTGTTTTAAAATGAACTTCTAAAAGGAAATGCTTTGATTTTGATTTTTCAGTACTTCAGAAAATATATGTAGCTTCATTCGGAAGCGAGAGGGAGAAAGTCTCTTAAATGCAAAGTTATTTTGCATTAAAATGAAATACTTAAATTCAAAATGGCTGATCAGGACTTTTCATTCATTGAGAAGGCCAAAGCACGAGTTATTCACACAGTTGCAGCGAAGAGCTGCTCAGCAGAAGTCAGCCTGCGCTGAGGTCCTCACACAGTTTGTTTGGCACAGCTCTAGCATCCCAACACTGCACTGCAATATGAGGTACAGCTTCTGCATTTTGATGCAGCGCTGAAACCTCCTGCACCTTCCATTTTTTTTTTTTTTTTTCACGGGCCAGTGGATTATCACTTCAGCTCTCCCACAGTAAGGAAGACCTTCACAAAACTGGTAGATGTGTGCTCAGAAGAATTTACAAATCTGCAACATACCTAGCACTAAATGTGAGAATAATGAATAAGTAGAATAAATACCAAGAGGATGACACAACTTATATTCTGAACATCAATTCATGACCCAAGTCATGTGTCTTATATAGGTAGCATGTTCATTTTTTTCTAGTTACATTAGTTTTTGTGAATGTTCTTCTTTTGGGTCTTACTGTTAAGGTGACATTTTCAGCATCTTTGGTTAAAAAAAAAATAAGCAATTTCTATATGAGTAGCTGAGAACTTTTAGGAGCATTTTTGTGTGAGAAGACAACAGAGAGGTCAAAAAGCAGTGGCAATGGGATTTTAGGCCCTGTAGGACAGAATAAAAGGGAGATCAGAGARGGGATTCAGTGATGAGGGCCAAGGATAAGTTGTCTGATTTATATGTGTTGGTAGGGATTAGTGTGCATCCACTTGCCATGCATAATATATACAGATCACAAGTCATATAGAAGCACATATAAAGAATAGGTATAAACTTAGAAAGATATATGCTACRTGCAGACTTATGTATATAGTAGTAAACTCCAAAGACTTCTCCACTTCCAATTGTAGAAGTTTCTTCTTCAGACACAAAGATTGTGTTTAATAGACGCCATTAAAATTATATTCTTAAAAACATTTTCCAGCATCATGAYAAATAACATTCTTTCCCTGTTCTGGAAGTTGTCTTGTGGCTTTAGGAGATGCCTGTGAGTCTGGACATTGAGTATAGAAATGATAAACACATCTCTCTTATCATAAACATGCAGGAACTGTTGCTAAACAAACAAAAAAAAAGAATCACATAAATTCCATTGAGATATTCTCGCTTGCTAGTGCTTTTTTCTTCTACCCAACCCTTGAGGACATAACCATATTAGTACTCACCTGCACTGAAAACGAACAACTGAAGTCCCTTCATTCTCCTCCTGTGCATCTCTCCTTAGTTTCACCAGGAARCCTTATGATTTTGAGGTAGTTAGATAAACAAACGGCTGCTGCTGAACACCAGCTTCACAGTTGCATCTCAGGGTCACTTCCTCAGTCTGCTTTAATATGGTCTTCACCCATCCGCCACTCCCCCTCTGGCCAGAATGACAAGCCAGATCACCAGTAGGCTTTGAAATCGCCTGCTCTGCTCTGCCCAAGGGGAGAGACAGTACTTAGAAACTCACCCTTCCTTCGCCAATGAAACTACATTTCCCAGTTTCTCCTAGCACGCAGGTGTGTAAAGCAAGAGAAAAGGTAAACCAAAGGGCGAAGTGACTGGGAGTGTACCCTAGAATGACTGAAATCATGCATGTGATGACATATAACTAAGGGAAATATATCTTATTCATCTCAAATATTTGTTAAGGGAGCCTAAGGCTAGATTTAACAAATATATTGAAGTGTTTCACAACTGCAGGCAGGTAGCTGCCTAGGTCTGTGCTTTAAAGAACTGAGGTACCTCATTCCACCTGTTTCAAGTGCCTGCAAGAATACCTAATTTATGGTAATTTGGACCCTAGATCTGAATTGAGATGAATCGCACCCCAGATGTTCTTGTGCCTACTGTKTGATCATTAAGTATGTAGTTTGTACAGCTGGAGCATGTACCAAAACCACTTTCTCCCTTTCCCTTCAAAAGATTGTTAGATAAACTGATCAACAGCTTGTAGGATGCTAACTACATACTCATATAGGCATATAGAAAGTCCAGCCACATCTCCCGTATGGAGGCACTTGGAAAAGTAGATGGAAGCTTGTAAAGTACAAGTTACTTGTATATAACTGACAGAGAATAAAGGGAGGACTCGTGGCTGCTCCGGCAAATAGCTGACATTATACTTAATTGAGTGCAGCTGGCTAATATGTCTTTTGAACCCTTTATTGCCAATAGACACCAAGAAGTATCTCCACTAGGGTAGTCACCTGTGCTCCATTTCAAGTTATTTGAGAGATGGAGGCACTTTTATGGCATGAGTGATCTGCCACAGATCACTCTATGGGGGGAAAAGCATAATTTTCAGATAAAATATATCACACTCAAAATGCATTCATAATATTAGTTCTGTATTGATTTTAAATGGAGGCTACCTCAAAAGTGTGTGTCTACAGTGTGGATGTTCCCATTTGATATGTTGTATCTGAAGAACATTGGAAGTGAAAGAAACGGCATCAATGTACACCATCTGCCCATACATACTTTGTCTGGTAATTCTCAGCTCTCTASATAAGAACTCTGAACATTCACTAAAAGATGTTGGTCACAATGTCTAACAGGTATCATACAATTATCCTCTTTGCAGAAATGAGATTTCCACTATCGTTTGTATAGCCTCTGTATTCTCCCCAGTAGTTCAAAAGCCACTTGCTTCATTTCAACTAAACTTGGCAGGTGGGTAGCAATCTGAAACATAGGAAGTTCCTTTCAGTCTCATAAAAATTAGCAGCTGGAAGAAGAGAGAAATCTAAATTAATGGTACCTCTTAGGAATAATCATTCCATTCCAAGAATTTGTGCTTGAGCGACCAGTGCATGCTAACCATGGTCATCTCATCTTCTGTTATGGCACAGAGGAAAGTCACAGGGGCAAAAGCTGATGGCCATGTGAGGAACATTTATTGGGCTGAAGGGCCTGGACTAGTGGACATGCATCCATTGGTAAACAGGCTTGTTAGTACCACTGCTTATGTAATACCTTGGGTAACTTGGGTTTTCTGAACATTAGCAAAGGGCTAATCAGAAAATACAGTAGAAATAAGTTGCAGAGTTTAGCTGAAAGCAATGCCTGTAACAATTATTTCTCAAATACCTAAAAAAGGTATTTGTAAAGAGTTTAATAAGCCTGCTGTCTAAAAGATGGTATGTGTTTGTTGATAACCCYGAAACAAAAGCATTATTCTCACATAAATCTGTCATTTAAATTGTAGAAGTAATAAAGTGTGTCATCTCCAACTATATTGGAGTGTATCTTGTTCCATTATACTGGAAGGAGGAAGGAAGATTGCCTGTTGCCTAATGGTCTATAACTTGGAAAGGCTGCCTTAATTGGTATCAGTGCTAGCTTCACTGGGGGACCAGTTTTACCCTGTTTCTATCAGTCATTCGGTTGCATCATAAATAAATAAGTTGTTGCTGAGATGGCGAATGCCCCACYGTTTTGGAAATTTAGCTAAATGCAACTGTTTTTCCAGCTTATGCTTCACCAGCCAGATGATTACATAAATCTGGTTTTAAGCCAGTTGTTTAGATGAACTTTATTTATTGCTTCTGTTAGTTATTTAGGCACAGAGTGAAAATGATATTTAGGCACTTAAATCCTATCACTGCTTTCTGACAATTCTTTGTCTAGACCACAGGAAATTTTGATAAATGTGGGAGGCAAATGTTCAGTTTATTCCTTGGAAGTTTGTAGAACTGTCCTCTCATTGATGGTGGCCAGACAGAAAGACTAACTCCATTGATGATTTTAAGAGGTTTTAATTTTCATAGAATCATAGAATCATAGAATGCC